GCAGTTCACAATGACGTCATAGCTGAATGAGTCAGTGGCATTCAGACCAATTCGCGGTAGAGGGGGGTCTGCTCTATTGAAACTTCCTTTGACTACCAAATTATGGGTGTGGCGAATTATTTCACAAGTCGCAAAAAAGAACACTATTTATATTTTGTAGAGCAGTCATTTAATTGCAGACCCATTTAGGTAAATAATGTAGGCAGCACTTATTTTCAGTAGATAATCGAAAAGCATCATTTCAGCATCATAATAAAATGGCTTGCTTTAGACCAGTTTTAAATCTCAAGACCGTGTTTTCTAGTTCTGTTGGTGCGGAGATGTAAAACAGTTATGATTATTACAGTATAAATAATTAACTTATAGATAGCATATAAGGTGGGAAAAGTTTACTCGAAAAGGATCTTAAATTTTTATGGCGAGGTATACTTTACCTTTAAAACATCAAAAGTTCAGCGGCTGATTTCACACCCAATTCTCGAAAAAACTTCAAGTCAAGATCGTCTCTACTCCGCAAATAAAACCAACGTTTGCAGGTTGCCAAGTACAGTTCACATACTAAAGTCAAGTCATATTTACATTAATTCTTGAAAATGATGTTTGTCCTTGAATTTTCGTCAAGATTTTCCCAGGTAAGGTGTATAAGATGGCGACCGTCGAAAAATTGTCAGGTGATGTTGTTGATATAGATAGAGCTGCGTCATAAAATATTTTCAGTTTCGCACCCTCCGTGTATATTTCCAAAATTAATTTCTTTGATCCAGTAATATTTGCTATTTCTATCTTAGAATCGAGGCCTTATGTCATATACAATTATCTGTTCATTGCTAATATTTCAGTTATCAAACTTTGGTGATTTTGAGCGATATTCGCCTAATAATAGCACGGTATTGCTAGGTTGACCCAAAGTGAACTTAGTCAATTGAATCGCTTGAATGAAAGACACGCATCGACAATGACATTACGCGTTTTGACAATGGAACCTTTGTGTGATCGATGCTGTACTTGACAAAGGGATGTACATGACACGTGATCTCCGTAAGAATTGAAGGCACGCAGCATTAAGAGCTGTGTTCCTTCGACGCTAAGCATTCAGACAGGGAGGTCACACCTGAATTTTTAAAAGTCTCTCTATATATGTAATCGAAATGGGCCTAGTTTATATTTCTTTTACTTTTCATGTAATGGAAGTTTTCACCTTGATGTCTGCAATGCATATTGTACGTTGAGGGCAGATTGGGTTTTCTGTGGGGACAATTAAATATATTTTTGAAATGAGCATTTTAAGGGTTTAAAGGTGAAGGGTTAATGTTTAAACCTTCTGTCTCTGTCTTGGGCGTTACGAATCAAGCAGTGGAAAAACCTGGCAATGGTGCATGAGAGATTAATGAGATCAGACCCCACCTTTACCCTACATGTTTATAACCCCTCCCCCAATCCCTGGACCGTCCAATTCGCTCTCTGTGAATGTGGGTTCACAGCGCTAGGGCGAAATGGTTTGTAAAAGAAAGAAAGCATAAGGTACTGAAGTGATTCATTATTTTATACATTTTAATGTTAAAACTCCTATTTTGAAAATAAACATTAAAACTGCGTGTTTTCACAAGCTATGTAACAATATTTTGCTTTAGAATGTAACAAGTCAGGCTCATGGTGTTGTGAACCGTCTAAAATGACTTTAACTTTAATTTATAACTGTACTGAATTCCAGTGTATCAATTTCCATTAACGAATTAACTAATCTATGGGCTCCGACATGACTCCAGATTCGACTCAGTCTTTCACTTTACGTGCACAGAGAAGCATAACAGAACAACCTCACATCTTCAGTCTCAGATCAAAAGT